GCTAGGCAAGCAAGCACGCAACGGGCTGCCCGGCGAGCGCGCAATGCCGACTAGGAGCACGCAGATCCACCGCCCACGGTGGAGGACTCGACCATGGCCGAGATCCCGCTGCCACCCCCGCCACATGTGAGGGCCCGCCTTCTCATGGCGCAGAGCAAGGAGAGAGGTGGAGGAGGTAGCTGGGTAGGCGAAGCAGGTTTGGGCGGCGGTGATTTGTAAATGGCGGGGCAGGGGCGGTGGATTTGGCCGGCGGGTGGGAGGAGCTCGTTCGGTTCTTCTTGTGCCGGAGGAAGAAGAAAGACACAGAGAGGGAGAAGAGAGCAGGGGTAGAGGGAAGAAGGGCATCATGATCCTTTCCAATAGCATTTATTGTCTTTAGTTAGTCAAGTTTTTTAGAGCTTTTAGAAGGCTACCTAAAACTTTAGAAGCCAAAATTTTAGGAGCCTGCAACCAAACATGCCCTGAGTTTGGGTCGACGGTGGTGACTGGTGCAGACAGTGGGCAAAGCGCGGGCCACACTTGCGACTCGTGGCACAAAGCCACCAAGTCCGGGGTTGATGGTTCCGGTGGTGTAGGCTACGACGAGTTCGCCGGAGGCGCCTACTGAGTGTGACGTGTCGGCGAAAGAGACGGGCTTTTACAGGTTCATGGCACCGACGTCTCACGCCCAATGGAGCAGTCGTTACCGGAGGCGGTGCCGGAGGAGGACGACGAGCTTGGACGAGGCTACTGCCTGGGCGCGCCTCTGGAACCCACGCTACTGCGCGGAACGACCCGCTTGCCACAAAGACGGTGACCGGTGCTGGCAGGCAGAAAGAGGCAACATGACGGCGAAGCGGCATCTGCATGACATGGTCGGAGGCCAGGCAGTTAAAGCACTAGCCTACCAACTCTGGAGGGACAGGTCTTGGGCCGACGGCTTGGAAAGCCGGACGGCGGCGCCAGCGGCGTCTGCTCTCGACGACGTGGAAGCCGTCGTCGTCGACAGGAGAGGCCAAGCGTGGTGGGTGCAGGACGATGATGGCCGAGCGACGCGTGGCCTGGCGCTGCACGCCGGAAGCGTGATGGGGCGGCCGGCGGTGCTCATCCAGAGCGCGACGTGGAGGATGGCGCTGCTCCCGTCGCGCTGCGAGGAGGCGGCGCGCGCTTTCGTCGATTCTTGCGATGTGAAGGCGTGTGTTCTTTGGCGGCGCGCGACGTGGCTCCTAGCGCTGGTCGGCAGCAGCACGACGTGTCGCCGGGCCCTGCTCCTCCACCTGTGGTGCGCGCTGTTCTCGCCGCCGACAGCGCCGCAGGCGGCGGCGCTTTGCCTTGCCGGTGCCCAAGGTCCCTTCCGTCATTTGCTGCGCGCTGTGGCGGCAAGCGGAGGCGGGGAGTGGACTCCACAGGGGCCGACGAGAGCCCGTCGAGCTCTTTGCCAGTCTGAGGAGGGCGGCGCCTCGTCGAGTCATGCGAGAACGAGAGGGACTCCTCTTCCCAGCGCATGCTCTTTGATCTTCCAGCGGAGGGGAAGTAGGGAGCAGCGTCAGGGGAAAGGGAGAAGGGGGCCTTACCGGCGTTGGTGGCAGCGGCTGGGGGAGGGGTGGCTGCCGGCGCCGCGGCGGCTTCCGGCAGGCTGGGCTGGGGGTGGGGGGGGGAGGGAGGTGGAGAGCCCCATCCTCTCTACCCAAGGTTGCGCGCAGGAAGTAGCCGCCACTCCGCCAGGATGGAATCAATTTGTTGCCCTTCCTATAAATTGTTGACGTAAGATTTGCATACTCGCAGTCTGAATCTGCTATTCGACGTAAAGTGTCCTTTACCCCTTCCATAACCTCTAGATCTTCATTTGGCGGTTTCCTTGGAATGCCCCCATGAGCTTCGTTTTCAAGATAGAACCGTGGAGAGAGCATAAGCAAGACACTGAAGCAGAGTCTTCATCTTTTCCCAGGGTGAAAAAATTCTATATTTTATTTCTCAATAGTCATTTTTGTGCATGTTATCATCTTTATCCATAATGTCTTTGATCTTTCCAACCATGTTGTTCATTCTCTCGTAGATTTCTCCTATTTCTGGACCTTCTCCTTCACACAATTCCAGCACCGAGAAAATGGGCTCTGTGATGGCTAGGACAGTTTCCACCTCATTCTAGAAGTTGTCATCATTAATTGCTTTAACAATAGCCTTGGTTTGCATATTCTGATCATTGCCGCAACCTTTCATCCAAACTTTGCATTGCTAGGTGACTACAGTGGTGGCAAGTGCTTCTCTGCAAGTAATCAACCTGCCCAACATTATGTAATTTGAAGCAAATCACGTGCATGGTCGCTAATTGGTGTTCCATTCAATATATTCCACAGTCCTTTCGTTACAAAAATCGGTGGGACAGACTCGATTTGCTTCAAATTACAATATGTTGAACAGGTTGATTACTTGCAAAGAAGCACTTGCTACCACTATAGTCACCAAGCAACGGAAAGATTGGATGAAAGGTTGCAGCAATGATCAGAATATGCAAACCAAGGCTATTTTTAAAACAATCAATGATGACAACTTCTGAAATGAGGTGGAAACTGTCCTAGGCATCACAGAGCCCATTTTCTCAGTAATAAAATTTTGTGATAGAGAAGGTCCAAAAATAGGAGAAATCTACGAGAGAATAGACAACATGGTTGGAAAGATCAAAGACATTATGGATAAAGATGATAACCCGCACAAAAATGACTATTCAGAAATAGAAGATATAATTTTTCACGATGGGATAAGATGAATACTCCACTTGAGTGTCTTGCTTATGCTCTCTCTCCACGATTCTATGATAGAGTATATCTTGAAAAAGAAGCTCCTTGAAGCATTCCAAGGAAACCACCAAATGAAGATTTAGAGGTATGGAAGGGGTAATGGAAGCTTTACGTCGAATAGCAGATTCAGACCGTGAGTATGCAATCTTACGTAAGCAATCTAATGATTTTGTTATGAGGGAAATGTTTGCACATCCTGCTGTTAAACTTGATGCGGACACATGGAACCAATTAAATGGTGGTTCACCTATGGTGCCCAGGCCCCAAATTTGGTAGCAGTGGCAGCAAGAGTTTTTTCCCAACCTATCAGTAGTTCATGTGGAGCGCAGACATGTGGTCAAAGCAAATGGCGAGGTCTATTTGAAGTTTTAATCAATAATTAGAATATAATTTTATCTTTATGCATGTCAAATTTAGACTTATATAATATATTTATCGACCTAAAATCTGGGATTACGATCCTCATCCCATAGCTACGTTCCATTTATATCGACTCAAATGTACCCGGATCACAATCCTCGTTCCATAGCTACGTTCCGGGTACGTCGTCCTAATTATCTAAGGATCATGATCTCATCCTCGAACCAAACGTCCCGAAGAGGTATACCCCGTATGAACCGGGAACTTAAAATTGACGATCCACGTCTCACATACCCCGTTCCTCGTACCTATGTACCAGTAAGTTTAATGAGTGTGGCAGCGCAACACGATTGCATGGATGAGGCGGGCGTGTGCGGTGTGGTAGGGGCGAGGACAGTAAGGTGCAGGGGTGGATGAACTAGAATGGTACAATTATGCAAATTTAGGGAGTTGAGTGTGCAAAGCAAGTATTAGGACTGGGATAAGAACTCGACATAAGTTTAGGTCCGAACATGCAATTTGTAAGTACGCGATCAGGATGAGAACTCAGTACAAGTTTAGGGAGCCAAACTTGCTATTTATAAGTATCGGGACCTGGATGCGAAGTCAGGATAAGTTTAAGGACCGCTAGTGAAATTTATTCTAGTTTTATTATGTATCTAGATGTAACCAATATGTAGTTGCATAAATCCAAAACTGATATATAATTTGAAACAGTGGGATAATTCATTAGTACATTTTAGAAGTGGGTGTGCGAAAAAAAAACTTAGACTGTACTTGTCAACTCAAGAAGTACTCCTAGCTTCCAAATTATGTCTACATTAGCACTCCCAAGGCAATCTCTGCGAGCTTTCAGCAACTGGGAGACTAGTCCAAGTGTGTCAATGATGCTATTTAGACTTTAGAGGAACCTCTCTGTGTAAAAGAAACATATGATTCTCTCCCTCATACAATTAAAAACATAGAGAAATGATATATCATTAGTCAAGAGAACCATTTGAGCAGCAACAATTTTAAGCAAAGACAATAGTATTTTAATGGTATTATCCGGTGAGATTTAAGACACCAAAGTAATAAATCTAAAATTATGAGGAATAAAATATGAATTCCAAGAGATTATCTCAAATAGCAGTCGACGTTGAATGAAAAAAGAACATGTTTTTTTATATTATCAGTTTATCACTGTTGCAACTCTTGCTAACATTACATTTCCTCAATATAATAAAAAATAATTAACTTAGCCTTTTTCCTCAAAAGAAAAAAAAAACTCTGTTCAAATGTTTTTATGTCCTTCTCAATGGTTTGATACTATTCTATAATTTTTGTAGCAGATGCAAAGAAGAAACAGAACTTGAAGTTAATTTTAATAGGTATGTTTTTTTAACAGATCAATTTATTTGAGCATGTTATCACTGCTGCGTTCCTTTTTGCTACAGCACTATTCCATTTCCATATATATTTCTTGATTATTGTTTACTTTCTCTGTCCCAGAATAATAAATGTAGTTTGTACAGGGCAAAGTCAAATTTACAAACTTTGACCAACAATTAGTCAAGTCTATGATATAAAACTTGTATCAATAGATTTGTGTTCAAAATGACTCGGAGATAACTATTGGTTCTTTAACAAATGATAACATATAGTAAGAGAAACTAAGGGTCAAAATCTAATGAGTTGATATTTCCCTGATCAAAATACACTTATTATTCCAGAACAAAGAAATTAGTATTGATGCTATTAACAAATAAGATAACCAAACATAAGAATGTGTGGTGCATCTTATCATTGTAATGTTGATAAAACAAACATTTGCGTTTTGCCAATACAAATTGGTGTGTAATAGTTTGATATATCCTGTTTCAGTTGTCTTGTCCTCTACAGCCAGCTTGATTCTTACGTGCCTTGTTTGGGTAATGTACCGCAAGAAGAGAAAGGAAAAGCCCGTTACATCCAACCAAAATTGCAAAAGCTATGAATCAAATATAGAGGAAATACTAAAAGGATATGATTCTCTCGTCCCAAAAAGGTACAAATACTCAGAGGTAAAGAAGATAACCGGATCTTTCAATGATAAGTTAGGAGAAGGCGGCGGCTATGGCACGGTATTTAAGGGGAATTTAGAAGATGGCCAGAAGGTTGCTGTGAAACTACTGAAAGGATCAAAAGGAAATGGAGAGGAGTTCGTGAATGAGGTTGTGAGTATCCGTAGGACATCTCATGTAAATATTGTCAATTTACTTGGTTTTTGTTTACATGGACCTAAGAGAGCACTTATTTACGAATACATGGCTAATGGTTCATTGGAGAAGTATATACAATCAGAAGAAACAAAAAGGGCCATTGGATGGGAAAAGTTGCGAGAAATAGCAACAGGAATTGCGCGAGGCTTGGAATATTTGCATCGGGGCTGTAATACACGGATCATCCATTTTGATATCAAGCCAAATAACATACTTCTAGATGAAGACTTTTGTCCCAAAATAGCAGATTTTGGATTGGCAAAACTGTGTCATCTTAAGGATAGTGCCCTCTCAATGGCTGAAGCAAGAGGTACCATCGGTTTTATTGCTCCAGAAGTATTTTCAAGGGGTTATGGAGTTGTGTCCACCAAGTCAGACGTATACAGCTACGGAATGATGTTGTTAGAAATGGCACGAGGAAGGAAGAATCTTACAGAAGACACTGAGAATTCTAGTCAACAATATTTTCCAAACTGGGTTCATGACCGTTTGGTTAAAGATTTACAAAGTCATGAAGTCACATGCAAGACAGAAGAGATTGCAAAACAGATGACCCTTGTTGGCTTGTGGTGCATACAAACGACTCCAGAGAATCGTCCATCCATGAGCAGGGTTATAGAAATGTTGGAGAAGAACCTAGATGAATTGGAAATGCCCCCGAAACCATTGCTTTCTTATCCCTCGGTGCCGCCTCATTTTTCATATGAACTTGGATTGTTCTGCCAAGACTCAGGAGAGACCTCCCTTTCAACTATCTTCCACAATCCAACTCAAAAGCAAATGATTTGAAGAAGTGGCAGTCTGGCAGAGCCAGAAAAAGTTTGTACAGCCTGGGCAATCCTAAGGACTTCACGTCCTCGCTGCTAATATGTAGAGCTTGCCGCCAAGATCCACCTTGGCCTGCCGATGACGAGCATGGGCAGCTGCCCTGGGTGGCTCCGCCACTAATTTGAAGTACAATCTATACCTTCGAATTCATAACACATAAAAAACCATTAAAAGGTTGTAAAACAATTTGTTGCGTCACATTTAGAAAAGGTGTATATATAATACATATTGTTTATGGACAGACCAATGCAGCCATTCCTATTGGCGTTCTGGAAAGCTAGCTCATGTCACTGACATTCTTGGTCAATTGCTATATGTTCGTGTAGATTACAGCTTTAGGAATGATGATGATGAATACTGTATCACTTATCTTCTATGGATATATGCAATTTCTTGACTGTTCAAGATGGAAGTTTGCATCAAGGATTGCCCTCATCCTATGTACTGGGATCTCAAGTGAGCCCATTTTATGCTTAAGAACTGACCTTAGAGATGGCAGTGTAGTTTATCAACATGTATTTGGCACTTACTGAAAATGTCACTTCAATTATCTTGCAAAATGAATTTCAGAGTGGCTTCTTCTGTCTGAATCTTCAGTTCAGTCTTGCAGATCAACATGTATTTGGCACTTTACTGAAAATGTCACTTCAATTATCTTGCAAACTGAATTTCAGAGTGGCTTCTTCTGTCTGAATCTTCAGTTCAGTCTTGCAGGATTTATTTGGTGTACACAATCTAGAGATCAACATTGATTCATTCCGAGTCAACTTACAACCTCCTCTACATTATTCTTAATTATCAGTGGTGCTCAGCAGTAGAGTAAATATGTACAACAATTTAATCGTTTTCATGCCTTTTGGGTAACCACAAAACCCAGTATCTTTTTTTGGGTCAACTCATTACCTAGATTTTCCACATTAAGTTGGAGTGGATTGGGCAGTAGTTGACTCAAAATTGACCTACTTACCGTTCATCGACCAGGAACTGGAAAACCAAATCCTTCCGGTCCGCAGCCATGTATGGACAAGGACATCTACTGCAACGACTGTGCGGGAACACCTCATCTGAAATCTGATCCAAACCCTGTTCATATTTGACCGGTACTACTCTCTTGCGGCCGCAATGGTTGAACTCGTTTCGTCATCATTTAATTGCACTCTCTCGGCCTCACCTAAGTACTAACTTCCTACATCTTCTTGCCTAGGAGTGCAGCAGTACTTCAGTGACCAATCGTGCAGCTGCTGCGATACTACTCTACTTAACCATCATAGCGTTGCAATGATACACCGATCTCCTGCTCCAGAAGCTACCGTTCTGTGCTTCGCCCTGCTTCTGCTCTTTTCCCGAACCAGCTCCACCGCCACTACAGGCGCTCCGCACACGGGCGGCGTCATGCGCTGCCCGGCGTCGTCGCGGGGACTTGCCATTTCCTACCCGTTCGGCTCGCGAGCACGCATCCGCCGGTCGCGGCCACCAAGGCTTCCGGGTTACATGTGTCAAGGCCAAGGCGTACCTCAAGAATTCGATCCGGGCGTACCGCATCCGGCCATCTTCTACACCAACAATTTACTCGAGAGTAACCAACGCCAACCTGTCGTTGGATGGCACTTTGGTAACGCGTCGGCAACTTCGTCAACGCCTCCTCCGTCCTCGAGCCGTTCTCTATATTGACTCCCGAGGCGACATGGAGCTGTTCTTCTTCTCGGCTGCAATCTGCGGGCACCGCAGCTGCCTCCTTCTTGGGCGCCCCGAGCTGTGACAATGGCTCGTTAAGCACGGCTTTCTGGGCGCGACAGAGCCCGACGACAGTTCGATGGCGCTGCCGAAACGGCAACGCGTTGATGATACCGGTCTTCGGCATACGACGGGGACGACGGGGCAGATTATGAGCGGCTCATGGAAGGAGGGTTTCGCTTAATTACCTCAATGAGGACTTCTCCCGGTCTGACGCTTGCTCCGTCGGACACGGACACGCGCGATCTTGGGACAGTTGTCGGCCGACGATGGGTTCCAGTGCTATCGCTTTCGACGGCGTGTACTCGACGGCGTCCCATGATGAGTTCGGTTCCAATTTTTTTTTTTCGATGAGAGGGAACGCCTCTTTCTTTTGCTAAGGCCCTATTTAGTTCCCTCCATTTTCCGTAATCCAAATTTCCAAATTTTTACAATCCCAAATCCAGAATCCAAGAATTCCCATGCACCTGCTTAGTTGCACCCAAAATCCAAGAAATCCCAAATCACATATTGCCTCATCCCCATGCGTAAGCATGCATGCCGCTTCTTCTTCCAATACCATCGACGTTCTTTGCTTCTTCCGGCCAAATGAAGGAGGCCCCGGTACCCTCCCATGGGCGGTCATTGGCTGCCCCGCTGCGAGTTGAGGTCGAGGGCCGCCATGCTCGTCTGAGGGAGAAGCGAAGTGGTGGATCCAGGGCGGTGAAGGCCGCTGATTGTAGCCTTGGCGGTGGTGATGCTACGCGATGTAGTCCCCGGTGGCGTCGATGCGCCCGTAGTCATGGCCATCACCGTGGAAGAATCGTCGCCGCCACTGTACCCGTCCATACGGGCAAAGCAGGTGAAGAAAAGATCCCATTGGGGCGGTGGAGCAAAGAAAAGATCCCGCCGAGGTGGTGGAGAAGGGAAGGGACGAACGGTGGAGTGGCAAGGGAGGCGACCAGCGGTGTCGGAACTGGGCCCCGGTTTGCTCCCGGCGTCGATCCGCCCGCGCCCAAATCGGCGAGAGAGAGCACGCCATGACCGAGCCGTAAACGCAATGGCTGGTGCTCCGCTGGGACGGTGGCCGCGACGGCCGGGGACGGCCTCGGGAGGCACAACGACGGCAGGGCGGAGGGAGGAAGGACCCGCAGGTGGAGATGGGGAGAAACCAGAAGAGGGAGGAGGCGTTGGGGCAGCTGCTGGGTAGGGTTCGAGGCGAAGCAGCGTGAGTGGGGAGAGCGGCGGCGGCTCCCGATCGGCCGCCGGTAGGGTTCGGGCGGCAAGCTGGTAACAGCGATTGAAGGCGATGTGGGCGAGGAGCACGTGCACTAGGCCCAAGTTTGGCTTATTTTGGCCTCTGGACTCCAGATTCGAAAATCTGAATGGGTGTGTTTCAAAAATTATGAGTGATGTTTAGATCCATTTCCCGAATGTTGGGCCAAAATCCGAGAATATTTTGGGTTTGACGAGGAACTAAACAGGCCTAAATATAATTCATTTCGTTGAGCATGACTACATCTACAATACTAATCTTGAGAAAATTCACACGTTTGTACTTTCCATCAAGCCTAACATATACCCAAACTAACTCAAAGGCACATATAGGCAAAAATGACATAATTTTCGATATTGAAAGGCAAGTATTTGGGAAAACACGCTATTAGAGAAATAGGAGTTTAACCCATGATCTAATCTAGTTAACGTAAACACATTAGTGGATTAATAGACTAACCATAGTCATAAGGTAGTACGCCGCCATGGTCGTAGTAGCAGAGGCCGTGGCGCTGCCCTCCTCATTGTCTGGACGTCGGAAGACACTAGGAAGATGCCGATGACTCCTCCTAATTGTCGCTGAGGAAACAGTGATGGTGGCGTGACCAACGGTGGCCTGTCCGTCACTCCAGCACCTTGATAATTGCACCACCTTCCCATGACTCTAGCACCTTGATGATTGGATCTTAGAAGATGGATACGTGTAGCTAATCCTCGGAATGTTGGTTTCTCGAGCGGGAGTCTAGTCCTCTTATTGGTGTTATGTGACCGGGGGCCACAACCCTTGGTTGATTTGGGTGTCGCCTCGGTCGCGGCACGTACCAGAGTCACGTACTCCCCTTTGACTCACCAGAGGAACCGGTCTAGGAGTTGGCCCATCCCAAAACTTGGCCTGGGATCACTTATTCCAACATTCTTCTCTTTAATCGAAAAGCTAACATCATAGTCCACACTAAGTAAAAATAGTACATAGAGATAATATGTTGTAACAGTCAAGAGAACGCCACTGCAACAATACCCATACCAATTCACCTGATTGAATGTCACACAATCGTAATGGGAGTTGGTTATCTTATGGCCCTCATGCCCAGAATCAAAGGCTCTCCATTTAAATCTATATGCACAACATATAATCATATAATATTTTGGATGGTAAGCCTTAGAGGATCCATGATATATTAACTTAATGCTCATATGCATAAGATGGGCCCACGGGCTGGTGGCTTGCACAAATTGGCAGCCCAGGCACAGGACCTTAGGATTCAAGCCCATGAGAGAGCGTGCGGGAACATGATGGACCAGGACGAATGCAGTCTGGACCTTGGGCTTCAGGCCCATGAGGGAGCGTGCGAGACCATGATGGACTATGACGAAAGCGGCCTGGCTCGGACTCATTGCTCAGTCCGTTAGGGTTTTATTGTTTTCCCATATATTTTGAGCATATGGGCTAAACAGTATGGACCAAATTCATCAAGTTTCTAGGCTCCCCTATTTTCAATGCATTACTTACTGTTCATTTTTTGCTCAAAAAACTTACTGTTTAATTTTTTTAGCAGCACCGTTAAATAAGTCACAATGTTTAATGAGCTAAGTTGTGCCATAACTTTATTAATTTGGGATAATTTGATCCATTAGAAATTATGCAGTATCAATTTTCAGTATTATGGCTGTTTGAAGGGCATAATTATAATTTTAATGGAGCACTAATGATCGATTATTTGCTTAAGAAAATTATGATTATTTCTTAATATAATTTCTGGGCTATTTTAACATGGGCCCTTTATTGCTTTCATGGGCCAAATTTTGACCTATGTTTTAAACTCATTATTTTAATGCATCTCATTATTGTTTAGAGAATCATGGCATTGTTTTATGATGTCTTACGTATAATGTTTATTTTGCCCATATAATGATTATTTTCGCTGCTAAGATATAATTATTTTCCTAGTTAGAATGGAAGGAATGGAAAATTCTAATTAAAGATTTCGTTGTGGCTTATGTATTTATCTTTGACCAAAGTTAATTTATATGTACATGTTCACAAGATTATGTAAGTTTATTTTTTTGTTCTACCCAACAGTGATGCAAATTAAAAACGATAGCAGCATGTTTTAATCAGACCAACGTAGGATTTTAATTTATGCACGACATAATGTTTACATATACTTACTAATTGTTATTCTAATTTACTTTGAGTTAGTGTTACGTCCTTCAGAGGTTAGGTTATGGACAGGATTAAAGAGATTCCTCTCCTCGACTAAACCAACTTCCCATTATGAAAAGAGGAAATTTAACTGGCTCTCTTAAATTTGAATTGTGATCATGTTACGTGAGCACGCTCCTACTCTTGTGTTGTTGGGAGAGTAGGAAAATACTCATGTATGGCATGATCACAGTTGAAAAATAACAGGCCAACTAAATTTTCTCTTTCTATAATAGAAAATTGGTCCAGACAAGGAGAGAAATCTCTTTAATCCTATCCAAAACCTGTGAAGGCCATAGCACTGACTCAAAATAAATTAAAATAACATTAGCAAGATATGTAAACATTACATCACGCATTAATTAAAATCCTATGCTGGTCTGGTTAAAATAAGTTAATGACATTTCTAATTCGCATAACCGTGGGCAGAAATGAAAAAGAAACTAAACATAATTTTGTGAACATATTCATATAAGTTAACATTGGTCAAAGATATATACATAAGCCACAATGAAGTCTTATGATTTCTCGTTGGTTCCATCTGACTAGAAAAGTAATCATAAGCAATAGAAATAACCATTATGTGGGCAAAATAAACATCATACATAAGGCACTGCTATGATTCTCTTAATAATAATGAGATGCACTAAAAATAAAAAACTTAAACTTAGCTTAAAATTTGGCCCATGAAAATAATAAAAAGACCCACATTAAATACCCTAGAAAATAAAGGAACCATCAGCTCCCGCAGGCCCATGTTCTTCGAACGCGATCTCGGCTGTCTGATCCTAATCACGTTCGCCCAACGCCAAACCAAAACGGCATGTGGAAAAAAACACTAACCCTAATCCCCATTACGCTCTTCGTGACCGCATTTCACGCGTAGACGCTGCTAGAGAGAGGTGACGGTACGGACTCCTCGGCGCCACTGTGAGCCCCTTCATCGAAGCACGTGCGCGGCCAAGCTGCACGTGGGCCCGTCAAAAGGCCTCTCATCAGCACCCATGAAAACAACACAAGCACGGTGGGCCTTCACCCTGCGCGCATGGAGTGGCGGTGGCGGGCGGCTCCGGCTCATGCGCGGAGTAGTTAGGGCACTAATTAGATTAAACTGGCCTCTATATTGAATTAATCCGAGGCAAAGTCGACACTTACGGGTTTCATGAACTAGATTAGTCGGCTCTTGGTGCCACAATATTAAAGAATTAGGGGCTTAACCATAGGATCTTCTAGTTTAGTTAATGTAAACACACTGGCGGTGCCCTCCTCCACATCTAGATGACGGGAGACGCTAGGGAGGAAGATGCTGACTCCTGATTGTCGGTGAGGAAAAGCAGGGATGGCGATGGCCTTCCGTCACTCCAACACCTTGATGATCGGATCTTAGGAGATAGGTACATAAAGCAGGTTAATCCTCGGAACGTTGGTTCATCGAGTGGGAGCCTGGTCCTCTTATGGTGTTGTGTGACAAGGGGCCACAGCTCACAGTCGGTTTGGGTGCTCTCGATCTCGGCAGGTACGGGAGTCATGTATTCCCCTTAGAGTAAAATGCACTGTAGGTTCTCAAACTATAGGCTCCTTCCCATCTACGTCCTTAAACTATTAAACCAACTATCTAGGCCCCTGGTCTATTTCCGCGGTACACGCAGTGTCCAGATGCAGCCACGTCAGCCACATAATCCGACGTGGCCGTGCCAGAGTGGCAGATGAAGGGCGAGGTCATGCCTTCTCTTCCCCAATCTTCTTCAGGCTGCTCGCCGCCCGCGGCCGCTCTCTCCGGTCCGGCCGCCCGCGCCCGCATTCTTCGGTCCGCAGCGCCTCCACGCAGTCTGCGATGTCGCTCGGCAGCTCGTCATCCGCGCAGAGGGTTGGGCGCCTGAGATTGGGCATGCGCACTGGGCTGCCCCTTGTGCCGTGCCCTAAATGCGGCGAGGAGATCCTCGAGCTCACTTCGGGTCCAGGATCTAAGGTCCCGGGGGCCATCTTCTTCAAGTGCCGGCTCCATGAGAGAGATGCAAATGCCGACCTCTTCAATTGTTCCCTCCCTGTTCAACAGCGATGATACTCTTGTTGTAGTCTTACTATACAAATTGCAGGACTCTACAACTTGCCCTTGGTATTTGTTTGCCGACAAGTATGAGAAGTCATTGATTGCCAAGGGATTGGTGGAGAAGAGAGGGATCTACGGCGCGCAGGCATTAGGCGGGAGGATACCATGAATGAAGTTGAGCGAGATCAAGATTGCAATTGGACGCTTAGAGGGAGTAGTGGAAGCAAACAAGACCGAATTGACACCTTTGCTTGTCGATGTAGTGTCTCTGAAGAATGGAAGTGATAGAGTAGTGAAAAGCTACTGGTTGGTAGACCTAGGAAAAATTGTAGCAATGTGCCTTGTAGTTGCTTTGCTTTTTTTGTTCCGAGTGTAATAACCATGTTTTTCATGTAGAAGTGGCGACTTAGTACCTCTCTTGAACCATGTGTTCAAGTATGTTTCAGATTTATGTCAGTAATAACCATGTTCATGTTCAATGAATGGAATATGAGTTTGTATCAATGCAAGTATGTTTCAGCTTAGCTTTTATGCAATTCTCTTGCACCAAATGATGTGGTTGATAACATGGTGACATAGACCGATCACCGAATTTCATTGTCAATTCAATCACTTTAGCTTACATATCATAGCTTAGGCCATTAGTTCTTTGACCATCGATCCACCGCAGCTTACATACCATAGTTTAGGCCATTCCTTCTACCACCTTCTTCGCTTGCATTGCAAATGATCTATATATCTATGATCATCTTTGCACAAAAGGCAGCCATTGTCATTGCATAAAAGAAACAATGGTCGCTACACAAAAGTAAGACACCACACTGTCTTCACTTCTCTCCATTTGTCCCTTTCTTGGACTTGGATTTGGCATTGGCTGCCTTCTTCTTCTCTTTGGCCCTCACAATCTTGGATGCTGTTGTAAGTGGCATGTGTCTTGCTGGTGGGAGATTGGAGCCGATGTAGGCACAATCTGGAATAGGTTGCCTCACCGCAGCTTGCCTCACAGCTTGGGCACTGCAAACAATGGGATCCAATTATTAGTCTTACAAAGGAGAAAAAATAGCGCTAGGAGTCGGGAAGAAGGTGTTGCCTCATCTTGCAGTTGTGACACCATTGGGTTCTCCAAAGTTGACATAAGTGGTTGTGTTACACTTTCTTGCAGGTTCATCTCCTAAAGCAAGTTACAAATGAGTTTCATATAATGTCATCCAATTAAGCATTTGGTTGGTTTTGCACAAACACGACAAAGGGCAAAGTTGTTGGTCGGAATGTTGATCCGCATGATGGACTAGCTTTCTTCCTTGATTTTTTCACTCGCTGCTTTCTTTCTCTCTCACAGTTCTTTGAGTTGTGCCTGTGTTCTCCACAAAGGACTACAATGCATGGTTACTCCATGTTTGGTTAGTCTTGGCCCATTTGGTCCACCAACTTCATGTGTCGCTTTCCTTCTAGCTTTAGGTGGCCTTCCAACCCTTTTTTTCATACACAGGGTTGAACTTGTGGGCCACCAACCTTTTCCCAAGTGGACTTGTCATTGCATGGGTGAATGTAGCATCCATATGCCTTCTTAAAAGCTTCATGAGAGTAACACCGTGGCAGCACTTGACTCCTTAGGGTATCCTCTCATGCCTCGTGCAAGAAATTGCATGACCTGTAGGGTATACTGTCAAGCTCCACCTCTTGCAATCGCAATGCCTTCCTCCAATGTCTACATTAAATTGCCACTCCCAGTCATGAACCTCAAATACACCACTCCCACTTGGTATTACATAGCATGTGTTGGCCATCTCTGCATGTCTTGCCAATTTCTTCCTGATCTTTGGACAGATCAGCATCCCTCCCCATTTCTCTTGCACTTCTTTTTGTTTGTTGTAGTGCTCGCCATGAGTCATCCCTTGATCCTTTGCAAAGATGCTTAAGATAGGAAGTTCTCTAGCTTCTAAAATATACACATTAAACACTTCACAGTATTGTTCAAAGAAAATATCACATTTTGGGTACTCACTAAAAATGCCCTAACCCAAGTGTTTGGAGCCATTTTCTCTAACCAAGCATGGGCATCTTTGTTGAGTAGTTTCATTTTGTCCATCTCTTGATTCCATCTTGGCACTCAGTACTTGCCCTTGCACAAGCCCAAAGTCGATTCTTCAGTTTTTCCCACGAAGTTGGAGTAGAGGTGCCTAACACAAAACATATGTTCGAGTCGAAAGGTTTGTTTGAATGTTGAGGATTAAACCTTTCATTTTATCTCATCATGATGGTCCAAGGTGTAGTATTTTCTATTCCTAGATCTTCTTTCAAGTGCTCTAGGAACCACTTCCAAGAAGCAAGACACTCCACCTCAACCACCGCCATTGCAACAGAAATATACAATCATTAGGATCTATTCCTACAAAGAGATTAGCAATCGACCCCAAATTTAGTCTTGATGTGGCAACCATCAAGACATATAACAGTCTGCATCCACCAAACATCCCTCTTGCATGCATCCAATGAGAAATACAATGAACTCAAACAACCATCAAGCAATTTCAAATACAAAGTGCTTCCTGGATTTGTCTTCCTAAGTTCACCTTATAGTCCCACAACTCGATGTCTCTTGCACTTCATCTCCATATATCAAGTTCCAAGCCGCCTTCCACTCTAGATAATTTGTTCTGGATGGGGTCAAATTTAACTCAAATACCTTGTCTTTGCAAAATTTGACAAACTCATCTTCTCATCACCAACCTCTCTACATATTTGTTGGCAAGCCATTTTGCGAAGACACCTTTTCAATACCCATTTTTCTCGACATGTGTGAGTCCCAACATAAGTCTTGATGACAAAACAGTCCACCCTTTTGTCTTCCTCAAGCATACAAGTACCATGGACATTCTTCATCACAATGAGCTTTGATTCTAGTCCTATCATTCTTGGGCATCTTTATCTCCACTCTATTCTTGATACTATATTCAAGAATTGCCTTTCTAAGCATCTCTCATCAATCAAACTTCATGCCAACTTTGAAAATTGGGTTCTGCAAATCTTCGTGTCTAAAACTTCTCATGTTCTCGCCCCAAATTTCTACCCTCTTCACCGATTCTCGTAGCTCTAATTCTTCTTCATCGAGTCCAACTCATCCCATTCTTTGCCCTCTCGGTTCATTGTCTCATCGGGCCAAATCTTTTCTCCCTTTCGACCATTATCCCTTTGCAAAGACCCTCATCAACCACACCTTCATCAACATCATCACAAAAAGGTCATCATCATCATCTCGAACTGCATAGTCACTCATCAACAAAATCAACATCCGAACTACATTCACCGTCATCACCATCAAGACATTCTGTCCCTAGCAGGGCAGCACCTTTGAAGGACTAATCACTTTGGGTAAGGTTGCAATTGGGTTGTACACAATGTCCTCCCAATGAGTTGCCATCAACAATATTGTAATGGTCCATATAAAGCACATAATTCTTGACCTTAAATGCAACTTGCTTCATTATCTGTGCTTCTTTATCCGATGCAATCAAACACAAACCAGCTTGACAAGTCCCGCCAGCAACAACAACCACCACACTTTGGAACACCCAGATCATAACCTAGCACCACCGATATCTCATCTACGCATTAAAAGACCAAGATCAAGACTTTGATATTGTCGAACCAATCGACCTTGCCATCGAGGTACACTCGATGAACACCGAACCTACGTAAAAATCCATTATGATGCACTTCCACGAAAACTCTTCATCGTCGGGCCCTAAAAAGAACGAAAAACAGCCCTAAAATTAAGCAATCCGAATCGGAGCATATCAAGCAAGCCTACCGCACCAACTACTACGCCTCCAAATTGATCTCGCACGAGATAGCATTGAGTATTGATACAGACTCTAGGGCACTTACCATAGGTTGGAGCCAGCCCCCTTTCAATCGTCGACGCCACGCCATGGTGCCGCCGCTGCGCCAAATTTGTGCGGCGGGCGGCACCCACCGCGGAGCTCGTTGACACCGACGTTGGGGGGCCACGAGTTCGCCGCAGCCCGCCCGCCGCCTCGTGATCTCTCCCACCAGCATGAAGTTCGCCGCCTGCCCGCCCGCCCTTGCCTTCTCTACCGACAGAGATTGGGGAAGAGGGTGGCTGCAGCTTGAAAGTAAGGAAGACAACGTTATGCGGGGGGTTGATAAAATGCGATGACCTCGCCTTCATCTCGCCACTCACGCGCCACGCCGGATTATGTGGTCCGACGTGGTCGATCTGGACCGTGCGTGTGCCGCGGAAATATATCAGGGACCTAGATAGTTGGTTTAATAGTTTGAGGACGTAGATGGGAAGGGGCCAATAGTTTGAGGACCTACAGTGCATTTTACTCTTCCCCTTAACTTGGCTAGAGGAACCGGTCTGAGCGTTGTTGGCCCATCGCAAAACCTGGCCTGAGATCACTTATTCCACACTTCTAAACATATTAGAAAGCTCCAGCATGGAAATCTAAGGACTATGGGGGTGTTTGCGCCGGCAACACGTCTGGATAGCAACCTCTTTTCCACATTTGTTGAAGGCGTGATTTTTGTGATTTCCACCAAAAACCAATTTAGGGAGTAGATTTAGCAAGCTCTTGACCTATACAGGAGTAATCCGGAGATTTTTGTTATTTTCCACCAAAATCCAATTTAGAGAGTAGATTTAGCCAGCTCTTGACCTATATAAGAGTAATTCGGAAAGAGTACTAAAAATAGTTGGCTGGACAAAACAAAAGGAAAAGGACATTGATATAGATTAAAAAAATGTGACTTGTGCAACCTTGTACGAGATTAATTGTTTACCAACAATACAAATAAGCATAGTTAGTATCACCCGTGTTTATGGCAAGACATATAATAATATATTGAGTCCCGTCAAATTAACTTCGCAATTTTCCACACATAGATATCTATTTTTTTATTAAAATTCCTTTTAATGCCATTGGAGCATATATATTCATCCGTGTGCATCATAAAGAATTATAGCAGAATATATATTTCAACTTAAGTAATGTAATATCAAGATTTCTAATATCAGCTATGGCAATTGCAGGAACCAAGAGGGCTAACTGGAAGACAACAATAATAGGTAAATATTTCCATCGAGAAGAAAACTATAAAGTACTCGGTCAATGCAAAAAGATATGACAACAAATGTGGCAGAAGTGATCTACAATGGTTTGGATAGCTAGGGCACGTATTCTAACTGGTTTTGTAGAGTGCCAAAAAAAATAGTGCACAAAAAACTATGGTTCAAAAAAAAATAGAGCACAAAAACCTCATTCGTTACAAAAGAAAACAAATAATTTAGGATTTTGATTTTACAGAAAATAAATAACACATACTTAATCTCAGGTTCGACAACAGCAGCTGCAAGTTTGCTTGTTCTATGTATTTGCATGTTGATATGGAAGAGCAAGGTGAAAAACCTATGGTTTCTCCTTGCCAAAAAGACTAGCAGCAACAATGAAAGGAACGCTGAGGCTCTAATAGAATCATACGGATCCCTAGCTCCAAAATGATACAAGTACTCAGAGGTAGTGAACATAACTTCCTCTCTCAACAATAAGCTTGGAGAAGGTGGTTATGGAACAGTTTACAAAGGAAGGCTACATGATGATCGCCTTGTTACTGTGAAATTCTTGCATGAGTGCAAAGGGAATGGGGAGGAATTCTTGAATGAAGTTATGAGCATTGGAAGGACATCTCATGTTAATATTGTTAACTTATTTGGGTTTTGTTTAGAGCGCTCAAGAAGAGCTCTTATATATGAGTACATGCCAAATGGTTCTTTGGAGAAGTATATTTACTCTGAGAAACCCAAAGAAACTTCAGGGTGGCAAAAGCTCTATTCAATAGCAATTGGGATTGCTCGTGGCCTAGAATACTTGCACCACAGTTGTAATACACGAATAGTGCACTTCGAAATCAAACCTCAAAATATCCTTCTAGACAAGGACTTTTGCCCAAAAATTACTGATTTTGGTTTAGCTAAATTGTGTCATGCAAAGGTTAGTAAGCTTTCAATGACTGGTGCTAGAGGTTCAATTGGATTCATTGCTCCTGAAGTTCACTCCCAAACCTTTGGAGTTGTCTCAACAAAATCAGACATTTACAGTTATGGAATGATGTTGCTAGAGATGGTTGGAGGCAGAAAAAACGTGAAATCAGTGGTTCAAAAGTCTAGTGAAAAGTATTTTCCACATTGGATTTATGATCACTTTGCCCAAGAAGATGGATTACATGGTTGTGATGTCACAAGTGAAGTGGAGGAAATTGCCAGAAAGATGACTCTAATTGGTCTGTGGTGCATCCAAATTGTACCTATGCATCACCCTACCATAACCAAGGTTTTAGAAATGTTCGAAAGAGACTTAAACAAACTGGACATGCCACCAAAGCAGAACTTCAGTCAAATACTGTAAGATGTTCTCTCTAGACATTTTCTGCACTTGTCATTTTTAGTAATTTTACATCTACAACTCCTTTCTCGTTTTTCCAGCGAAGATTCATTTAACAATTTAAATACAGAAAGCATGAGTCCTAGCAGCTCTGCTGAAACACAAGGTTCTAGTGAAGGACTGAAGGCTGAGGAGATAAAGCATGTGAATTCAAATATTATATGACAGTCCTCCCCATGGTCGAGAATAAACATCTTGTGAGAGTAATCAACTTTGTGAATGACCCCTACTCGAGGCATATTAATGGGGTTCAAATCAGAAGGTACTATGATAGCTTTCAAAAAAAAAAGGCTACTATCTTATTATAGTATCTTGCATAGGACCTCATACATAGTAAAACCCAAAGGGAGCTTCTTTCAGATAAATTACTAAATACTACTATCCATATATGGTAGCACAATATTAGCAATTTATAAAGGCAAAGACTCTAAAACGCAGGCGTGCGTTTTAAGTCCGCACCATCGTCTGCCCCACCTCCCCTATCTCCTCCCCACCTCGCTACCAAGACGCGACAAAGTCGTCTTCCACCTCCAGACCTTGCGCCCCACCTCTCTCTCTCCCGGCACCCGCAAGCTCCTCCTCCTCCCCCCCTCCCCTCTTTCTTCTCCAACTCCGTGGGTATAGAAGGGGTCGGTCAAGGCATGCATGCAGGGCAGGCGGTGGGGATGGTGGCCAGACGGTTTAGGGGCCCTAGCGGTGGTAGCTGCGACCGGGCTAGGTCGGGGCGGGGGCGCCATGGCCATGGCGGCGGCGGCAGGGGCGGGAGGGGTGGGAGGAGGGGAAGAAGGTGGCGCCGCCGGCGAGCTAGGGTTTCGCCGGAGCTGCGCAGCCACGGAGCTCTGGCGAAACCCTAGCTCGCCGGCGGTGGGACCGCAGGAAGGAAGAAAAGAGGACCGCGTGCCTGTGCTGGTCTACTGGAGCGGCCGTGCGTGCGTGCGGCTGGCCTAACCGCACGTGCGTTAGCCGCGTCCATTTATAAAATACTAATGTGGACATCTATATTGGTATCAAGTTAGGTACGCATATTATTTTTAGCTCAGGCAGACATTTTTTTCATACTAGAGTTATGTAATGATACATCTCAGGACGGCAAGGAGCATCAAACAAGATACCGGAGCAGAGCTGTCAGAATAAGAAGATGAAGCTGAAATGGTCATTCATGTACAATGGGCCAGGAAAGAGGCACAATTTTTGCTTGGAATTGAGTTTGGTTATTCCCAACAGCACTAGACTCTTCCTCAGAGACAGATGAATATAAATTGCATAACTAGTCCTTCAAAATTCTCATCGGAGGCCGTCCTGGCAATTCAGGTAGCAGTGCATATATCTGAAGTCTGGCAATAATAATCCTATGGCTGTACACACCCGCTTCAAAGGTCGTATAAATGAATCCAGATAAATAAAATCCACCCAATCCAACTGGTAATGGTTCCAATTCAAATCAGAGCACAGTTTCCATAAACTTATAGTCAGATTGATGGACGCTTACGGCTTACGAGAACAGAAACAGGCAAAATCAGAGCAAAGCTGCAAATCTACTTACTTGGTTCGTGGATGCCACTGCTTGCCGGGTCCTGCACGGCCGCGAATCCAGGCGACCCAATCATCCCGTGGATTTGCTACCTTTTGCCATGGGCGACGTAGTCGAGACGTCTGCCGCCATGGACAGATCACAGAAGTACCGAGCCCGCGCCGTAGCGGGGGCGGAGGTTGTTCGGAAATCCAGCTAATGCGACGGCAGTCGCAGTGGTGGTTCGTGCGTTCGCGGTCGCCGCCGCGCGGCACGGCGAGACTGCAGCTGCTGCACCGCCGCGATACGGCCCCGCCGCCGTCGGCGCTCGGGCGAACCTCTGGATGAGAGGCCTGTTCAGATTCGACCCAAATCTTGAAGCGCAAAGCCGGACTGCCGAGCCTCAACTCGTGTAGCTCGTGCGGGCTTGAAGCCCATGAATATTCCGTCTCGGAATTATGCGCATACGGCCCAACTTTTACTTGTTAGTATGGTAGTGTAATTTCTAAAAAATAATGTAGATGTGTATTTTAGCTTCTTTGTAAATCCTTATTTTTGTTGATGTACCCTGATGTTCTCTGAATAGCTAGGTTTCATTGTAAAACGGAATCTGGCTGTCATCGTTCAAGACCACAAGCCTAGCCCAAGGCCCTCCCTCGGCCCCACTACCAGAGAACAGACTTTCGGTTTGTATTGGTTTTTGGCTTTAGTCTCAACCATATTTGGACCCGAGACTAAAGGTAGGATTAATTTCGGTTGAGCCACCAACCAGGACTAAAGTCCCCTGACCAATAGCTAGAGTCGTAGGCTTTTGCAGAAGGGGACCTCTAGTCCCGGTTGATGGCTCAAACCAGGACTACAGGTGATCCTCTAGTCCCGGTTGGAGCTGCTAGCCGTAATTAAATCTTTAATCTCGGTTTGAGGCTCCAACCGGGACTAGAATTTTACATGTAGTCCGGGTTTGAACCACAAACCGAGACTACAGGTCTCAGGCTATATACTTTCTCCTTCTTTCTCACCCAGCCCGAACCATTTCAAGCTCTCTGTTTCTTGCTCGTCTCCGGCCATTTCAAGACTTCATTTGATTCATCCATCCATTCTTCGGTTCTAAAGGTTAGCAACTTCATCCTCTCATGTTTCATCACTAGCATGGCTCATTTCGTGGTTTAGAAATAGAGAAATTTGTGTTTTTTATATTAGGAATAATGGTGGATTTTTTTGATTTATATGTCATTTGAGCTCGAAATCACTTGATAGTTTGCATATGTAGATGAAGTAAGCTTATAGTAGTTCATTAAAACTAGTATGCACCTTTCATTGCCTCATTTCATGGTTTAGAAATAGAGAAATTTAAGGGGTTTTTTATTAGAAAAATGGTGGATTTTTTTTAGATTTAAACACCATTTAAGCTCAAACTCACTTGATAGTTTGCAAATGTAGAAAAAGAAAGCTTAAAGTAGTTGATCAAAATTAAACGAGTTCCTTATTACCATGCTTCATTGGTTGGCGATGAATCTTTTTCTCGTAAAGTGGTGTCTGCGGCAGGAACTGGGGAACAACTTATGTGGATACTACGTTTGCGAGTTTCTCATGGAGTACTCGATGAAAACAAGTGAAGAGATCCTCGAAGTACGTAAAAAAATATATACAATTTATTTATTACCATTATGTTGATATATATATATATATCCATCATACTTTTCCTTTTTCATTCGAATTGAAGCATAAATGGTTGAAGCAAAGGGTCATACGAAGTGAACAAATCAAAGCAATTCAAGATGCATTAGCAGGATTTCTTATGGAACTGGTCATAAATCCCAGTGGCGCGTACCACTATGACGGAAGAAGAATATCTCCTAGCCATGATTGAATGAAATCTCAAGGACATGAGTACAAGCTTTTTGTTACTTTATGTACATATTCCATGCATGTACAAGCTTTTTGAAATATTTGTATATATATAGTTTCATACATTTTAGTGTGTTATTTATGTATAATGCTCGAACGGAACCTTATATATATGGACGTATATTAGCAGCGCAGGATTCATATAAAAAAGTTAATTGAAACAAAAAAGAATTGAATTAAAAAGAAACCATAAAAGAAAAAGAAAAGAAAAAAAGGACACATTTAGTACCAGTTGGAAACACCGACTCGAACTAAACGCGCCAGTCCCGGGGCAAGGTCTAGGGGTCCATTTAGTCCGGTTGATGATAGCAACCGGGACTAAAGGAGGGCCTTTAATCTCGGATTCGCTATTCTGGTTGGAAAATCAGGACTAAAGGGGCTTTCCAACCGGGACTGATGCTCGGTGTGTCCCAGAGTCTGAACTCTTAATCGTATATTTTCAGAACATTTTATCGACCGTTCATAATCATATTCTTCAGTCGAAGAAATTCCACGCGTGGATTCAAAGACTTCACATCTGCTTTGGAATAGTAGAACACTCATTTATTTGGAGTGTAACATTGTGTGGTGCATCCTGATCCAGCGTTAAGTGTCAACCTTCTCTGACAGAACTTACAACTCGGTAATCAATCGGTCGTAGCAGAACGCCTTGCTGCGCGGGCGTGTAGGGCTGTGACAAGTCACAAGTGCTCGGCGGAACTGTCCTGGGAACAAATTCCAGTCCATGTATCTATCTGGCCGTCAGGCCGTGATGCCAACGCCCTTCTTCTTCACAACCTGCTGCGCAGACGCGAACAAAGAACCACCTATTCTTTCTCCTCCTCCCGATGCAGACCGCCGTGGTGGCGGTGGTGGCGCTGCTGCTCCCCCTCTCCGCCTTGCTGCGCTTAGGCTGCTTAGCCACGGCCACGGCCGCCGCCGACACCAACCGGACCAGCAGCGGCAACGACACGAGCTGCGCGCCGGCGAGATGCGGAGGCCTGAACATCACGTACCCGTTCTCGCTCGCCGGCGTGCATCCGCTGGAGTGCGGCTACCCGGACCTCGGGCTGACATGCGACGACGCTGCTGCTGGCAGGGCCTACCTCAGCAGGACGTTCAGGGTGAACCTGTACCGCGTGCTCAGCATATCTTACGACAACCGCTCCATGCTTGTGGCGGTGGAGACCGCCTTCTCCGGTTACGGGGCGTGTAGAATCCCGGACTTCAACGTGTCCTCTGGCCTCGGCCTCTTCCCGGTCAACGTCAGCGCCACCAACAGGGACGACCTCAACTTCGTCTACAACTGCAAGATTCCTCGCAACGAGCTGCTGACAGGGCCATGTGCCAAGCACGCAGTTGGGGCTTACATCTCCGAGAGGCCGGGCGACGTGGAGAGCAGCCGGCCGCAGTGGGTTCAGGCGAACTGCAGCTCCGCGAGCGTGCCGGTGCGCGGGTTCCAAGATGGGATGAACCTGACTCGTGAGTCCGTGTACGAGTCATTGATCAGCGATGGTTTCCTCCTGGACTGGCCGACGCTTGGAGACTGCGATGCGTGCAAACTGAAAGGAGGGCAGTGCAGGTTCTTCGAGCTTTCCTTCCAATGCGTCAATTCGTCGACTTCTTCCCGTGGTAAGCATCGTCTACTACCTAGTGTTGGAGTACTTTGGATTGGAGAAGCAATACATTACTATGTATATGGACATAATCTCTGTTGGATATATTATGGGCTTGATCCGTATAATATTTAATAAATCAAATAAAATTTTATGGTATGTAACATTAAGCGTTGTATGGTTTAATACTGTACGTGATTTTGACTGAACGTTTACTCAGCTTATTTGGTTGGAAATTATTCACCTCAATTTACAAGCTGAGAAAAAGACAAAGTAGTGCCACACGCGCGCGCGTCGCCGCCGCCGCCGGCCGGGCTGAGGCAGGCGGCGGGCGTGGCCAGGTTTTACCACTTAGGAGTGGCTAGGTTTTGCCACTTAATCCACATAATACCGGGAGTTCCTCTCCTTTATAGTGGAGGCGAACTGATTGCGCCAGTTACCGTCTCTCCCCTGTCTCCGTCTCCTAGGATCCTCCGTAGCCTTTCTCCCTTCCCGTCCCAGTCATAAATCTGAAATACTCCTTCAGTCTTCGTCTCTTCCGCTTCGCTTCTGAGAGACCATATCTCAGCTGTCTTTAGGCTTTCCCCGTCCCGTACCTCTGCGCGCACGGAGCAGCGGGAGAGCAGGTGCCTCCGAAACCCTCATTCGCCTGCGAACCTTGCACGGGGTGTGCGGTGATTAGGTTTTTTAAGGAGCGATTCCGCGACTGCTCGTTCGATATCTTCTCCCTGGTGATCGCTCGCGGAACCCGTCTTCTTTCTGGTGATCGCTCACGGAACCTGTCTTCTTCCTGGTGATCCGTTCGTGAGACTGCACTACGAACACCGTCCTGTATCGACTGTGGTCCACGACTTCGAGCAACGCACTATGTCGACTAGTGCGAATGGAGCCTCTGATGCCCTAGGCATGGGGACCCTCCGCTGGGTACAATCTTATCTCTGTGATTACCGCACTTTGCGTTCTTATCGTATCAATCTGTATATCATGTATGCATGTTGTAGCGTTCGTCAGTGATATATACATGCACATATATGTCGTCACGAGCTGATATTATATTTCTGGATTAAATTGACCATAAAAATGCCTAATTATCTAACATTCCAAAAACCTAATCTTAGACAATTTTCTGTCAGTGGTTTTGCTGCTGCTTTGAAGCCAAATAATTTTGATGGCAAGAATTTCATGATATGGCGTGTCAAGATGGTATTATAGTTGACTGCGATGAACTGTTATCACGCCGCACAGGGGAAGCTTGAACAATTTACTCCTGAGGAGGAACAAAAGTTCTTGGCTGTCGATAATCTGTTTCGAGACGCCGTGATTAGTGCACTTCATCCTAAGTATGAGAAAAACTACATATCTTGCACATCAGCCAAAGAGTTATGGGATGCTCTTGAGGCAAAGTTTGGAGTTTCTGATGCTGGTAGTGAGTTGTACCTTATGGAGCAGCTGTATAACTACAAAATGGTTGAAAACCGTTCTGTAGTAGAACAGGCTCATGAGATACAGGCGCTAGCAAAGGAACTAGAATATTTTCCATGCCTGTTGCCCGACAAGTTTGTGGCCGGTGATATAATCGCTAAGCTGCCAACTTCTTGGAGGGATTTTGCTACTTCTCTAAAACACAAGAGACAAGAATTTAGCGTGGCTGAGCTTATTGAATCTCTTGATGTTGAGGAGAGGGCGAGAGCAAAAGACAACCGTGGAAAATGAGTTGATTCTTCCGCTGCCAATATGGTGCAGAAGAAAAACTCATTTACATCCCGTAATAAAAAGAAGAAGAACATGCAGGAGAACAACAATACAAAGCCTAAGCAAACTGCACAGTTTAAGAAGAAAAACAACAAGAAAGGTGGAGGTTGCTTTGTTTGTGGGAGTGATGAGCATTGGGCAAGTGCGTGCCCAGACCGCAAATATAAGTAAGAAAAGAAATCAGCAAACATGGTGATTAGCGAGACTGGAGGAGGAACATCTGGGTATGGTAATTCTTTACCTTTTGTTCTTTGAGTTTATCTTTCACCTGAGTGGTGGATGGACAACGGAGCTAATATTCATATGTGTGCTAATGTTTCTTTGTTTACTTCTTATCAGGCCGGCAGGACTGGAGCCTTGCTGATGGAAAACGGTTCGCATGCGCGTGTTCTTGGTGCTGGTACGGTTATTCTGAAGTTTACTTCGGAAAAGACGGTGCTATTAAAGAACGTGTAGCATGTCCTCTCCATCAAGAAGAATCTTGTTAGCGGTTCTCAAATATGTCGCGATGGCTTTAAAATTATGCTTGAGTCTAATAAGTGTGTTGTGTCGAGACATGGAACATTTGTTGAAAAATGTTATGATTGCGGAGGCTTGTTCCGCTTATCTTTGCTTGATGATGTGTGTAATGAAGTAGTGAACGATGTTAATGTTTCGGATGAGTCGAATATATGGCATTCATGACTTTATCACATTAATTTTGGCTGTCTCACGTGGCTTGCAAATCTAAATTTAATCTCGAAATTTAACTTAGTCAAAGATTCTAAGTGTCAGGTGTGTGTGCAATCGAAGCAACCGCGCAAGCCTCACAAGGTTGCTGAGGCGAGAAACTTGGCACCATTGGAACTCGTTCATTCTGATTTATGCGAAATAAACGACGAATTGACTAAAGACGGTAGACGATACTTCATGACATTTATAGATGATTGTACTAGATTTTGCTACGTGTATTTATTGAAAACTAAAGATGAAGCATTGCATTATTTTAAAGTCTATAAAGCTGAGGTAGAAAATTAACTTGAGAAGAAAATCAAGCGTTTGCGGTCTGATCGCGGGGGAGAATATTTCTCAAATGAATTTTTTGAGTTTTGCGTGGTGCATGGAATTATTCATGAAAGGACGCCACCATACTCACCACAGTCCAATGGGATTGCAGAGAGAAAGAACCGTACTCTAACTGATTTGATTAATGCCATGTTGGAGACTACGGGACTATCTAAGGAATGGTGAGGTGAGGCTATATTGACAGCATGTCATGTTCTGAATAGAGTGCCACAAAGAATAAAGAAATTACACCATTCGAGGAATGGGAGAAGAAGAGATTAAATCTCTCTTACCTATGAACTTGGGGTTGTTTGGCAAAGGTGAATGTGCCAATAAACAAAAAAGCGAAAGCTTGGACCAAAGACTGTTGATTGTGTTTTTCTTGTTTATGCTATTCACAACGTGGGTTATAGATTTTTAATTATAAATTCTAGTGTTCCTGAGATGGCTGTTGATACAATCATAGAATCTAGAGACGCTACATTTTTAAGAATAAATTTTCCATGAAAAATGCACCTACCATGACTGGTCATGAATTTAGAATTCTCCATGAGCATGAAAATTTTACTCCGATAGAACAAATTGAGGAACCATATATGCAAAATCCTAAGGAGGATGACACTATAGTCACTAGAAAAAGTAAGAGACAAAGGACTGCAAAGTCTTTTGGTAATGACTATATTGTGTACCTTGTGGACGACACACCAACGACCATTGAAGAGGCATATTCCTCTCCTGATGCTGACTTATGGAAGGAAGCAGTACGGAGTGAGATGGATTCTGTTATGTCTAATGGAACTTGGGAAATTGTTGATCGTTCTTATGGGTGCAAGCCTATAGGATGCAAATGGGTGTTCAAGAAAAAGTTTAGGCATGATGGTACTATCAAGAGGTGCAAGACAAGACTTGTGGCCAAGGGTTATACTCAAAAGGAAGATGATAATTTCTTTGATACTTATTCACTGGTTGGCCGATTGACCACAATTTCAAGTTTTGCTTTCCCTAGCAGCCTTTTATGGTCTTATCGTTCATCAAATGGACGTTAAGACAACTTTCCTAAACGGAGAGTTAGAGGAGAAGATCTATATGGATTAGTCGGATGGGTTTGTAGCAAATGGTCAAGAAGGCAAGGTGTGTAAATTATTAAAGTCATTATATGGCCTAAAACAAGCTCCTAAGCAGTGGCATGAGAAGATCGACAGAACTCTAACATCTGCTGGCTTTGTTGTGAATGAAGCTAACAAATATGTGTACTATCGGTATGGTGGGGGTGAAGGAGTTATTTTGTGCTTATATGTTGATGACATACTGATCTTTGGATCCAGCCTCAAAGTGATTGAGGAGGTGAAGAAATTTTTATCTAATAATTTTGAGATGAAAGATTTGGGAGAGGCTGATGTTATTCTTAATATCAAGCTTCTGAGAGAAGGTGATGGTGGGGTAACTCTGTTACAATCCCACTATGTGGAAAATGTGTTGAGTCGCTTTGGGTTTAGTGACTGTGCATCTGCTCCTACACCTTATGACCCGAGTGTGCTATTGAGGAAAAATCGGAGAATAGCAAGGGATCAGTTGAGATATTCCTAGATCATTGGTTCACTCATGTATCTTGCTAGTGCAACAAGGCCTGACATCTCATTTGCTGTGTGCAAGTTGAGCCGGTTTGTGTCAAACCCAGGAGATGATCACTGGCTTGCTCTTGAGAGAGTGATGCGCTATCTAAAGGGCACTGAAAGGTCCTTGTGAGGTTTTGGTAATTGAGTGACAACCTAGGTGAACTAATTGTGTTTATATGAGATACACATGTGATTAGTTCACAGGTACATATATGTGAGCAACATATGCCATGAAGGTGAAAATAGCTTGGAGATGTTACAAAGCTCACACATGTGATGATGAAGGAGCTTTTTGCACATGAGACATGACATTGAGTCATGTGATCAAGGTGGAGAAGATCAAGATAAGACTTGGCTTGATGGACCGGTTGCAAGCGTGAAGGGCAAGTCGGAGGCTTTGGAGCGATGGACCACGTGGCGGTGAAGCTTGAGCAAGACTTGACGCCAATGGACGAAGGCAACGGTGAAAAGCAAGTGAAGTCAAGATCGATGAACCAATATGATCACATGATGATATGAAGTGGATCATATCATTGTTGATCATGTTGGTGTATGTGTTGCATCGACATTGGAGGAGATGGAATGGAATGCGCAAGGCAAAGGT